ACAAGAAATCTGGAGAGGGGCTTTTGACAAGGGCCTGTAGGGACAGGACAAGGGGAATGGCTTTAACCTGACAGAGGGGAGATTGAGCTCTTAGGCAGAAGTTCTTCCCTGTGAGGGTGGTGAGGTGCTGGCACAGGTTGCCCGGAGAAGCTGTGGCTGCCCCATCCCTGGCAGTGTTCAAGGCCAGGTTGGACAGGGCTTGGAGCAGCCTGGTCTAGTGTGACGTGTCCCTGCCCATGGCAGGGGGGGCTGGAACTGGATGAGCTTTAAGGTTTCTTCCAACCCAACCCATTCCCTGATTTTATTGTTTTACAATGTTTTCATTCTCAGAGAACATGTTATGCTTTTATTGCAGTTGAAAGTACAGGAAAGTTATGACCATATTTTTCACAAACAAGGTGTCAGATTTAGCTTCCTCATTTACACTTACCTGTGTTTCGTTTCTGAGAGAAATCTTCAGCTCCCTTTTGTTACCAGATGGAAATACGGGAGCCCACCACCTTTGAAATTAATTTAAGACAAACTAGAAACACCTTATATTTAAGAAGGGAGCTGGACATACAGAGTGCAAGGAGTGCTGCCAGGTCGCCCTGCTGTCATCATGGCACAAATTCTCTTGCTGCAGCATCCTGCCTTGACCTCCCTGCACCTTTCCTGCTCCCCTGTCCCAAGGGAAGCACTCTCTAGGAAGGAGCTTCTCTTGGTCATGTCTCTGTTCTATTAAAAAGATAATGGTGTGTAACTCCCTCCGTGTTGTTGCCTTGGTACTTGTCTTAGGGCTAAGCAGAGGGACATGGGTGTCACTTTCGAACTTACTACACTCCCCTTTGTGACACTGGTTTCTCCTCAGGCAGCCCTCTCAAGGCATGACTGGGCTTGACCCCATCTCCTCTATGAGACTTGACAGCCTGTTTGGCTTCACAGGCTGCTGCTGGGGATGAGCTCTGCTGCATGCCATTGTGGTGCCCCAAGGGCTGTGGCTGAGGTGATCCGGGTGGGAGACATCATGAGGAGATATGCCTGATGGAAGCATGCTAATGAATGACCTAATTCTGGCCAACCTGCCATGATTTCTGCGGCTCCTGCTGTTAAAACAACGGACTCCAGCCAGGCAAAAATCTCCCAAATGTTGATTTTACTTATAAGATGAACCACCTGGGTTTCTTTCCCTGCCCTCTTCCTGGAGTTTTACTTCTTGACAAGAAGCTTTTGGAACATGGAGAAAAGCAATTAGTAATGAACTTGGGGGGGTTGACTGGCATAGTAATTACTCTGGAAAATGTAATTTCCCCTGCATACTAGAGATGGGATTATTTCAATCAGATCTCGTTAATATGCTGTTCACCAACAAAGAGCCCAGCAAACTCTCTCTTAATAAGATTAGTGTGTGGGGTCATGATGCAGAAGGCTGCTAGGTGACATATTCAAGTTCTTGTTCTAAAGAAATAAATTATCTTCTGCTGTTTGGTAATGGCATACAGGAGTAGATTCATTTTAAAAAGATGGAGACCTGACATTTATCCATTTCCTGACAGCTAGCAGATAACTTGTGCCCGTCTTCTTTTGTCCAGGCGCTGTACATCAGCAGCAAAACCCTAGGATTAGGAAGGGAGCCTGGAACAGTGGTTGGAGCAGCTGAGGACAGGCAGGCAGGTAGCATCCCTGTCATCTCTTGTTAGATCATCAGTGTCTTATCTCCTCTATGACTGTAACGATGACCTTCTGATGTCTGCTTCTCTTTGTTTATCTGTAACATGTGGATAATAATCGTCCAGATTTCATCTAAGATTAATGGCTGTTTGCGCAGTGCTCCAGCTCCTCTGGAGCAAACTCTGACCCCCTCATCAGGTGCTGTCATCATGTATGACCTGTTGTGCTCTGCGGGAGTGAAATTGTAATACAGAGGAATGGAAAGAGATGCTGTTGGTTTGGTTGTAGTTTGATCAACTGTGAAAATTCAGGTCTTTCTGGGACATCATGTACACAGACGCCTTTTCTGGTTGTGCAAACTTCCTCCACTCCTTGCTGATGCCTGTGGGGTGTTTTGGGGGAAGACAGAGAGTGACACTACTTCAAATGTTTCCAGGCAGCTGTCCCCTTCCTGACTCTGCTCACATCTGTCTGCCATCTGTTTCGATTTTGCCTCTGCTGTGCTGCATGTAAACATCCTCTTGAAACATCCGGGGCACAGAAAGCCTGGGGTGTGAGGGGCCATCTCCTGTTGCTGCATAAAATGTGAGAGACTCTGATCAGTGTCCAGGAGGAAAACCAGCTGGTATTTATTATTGGCTCTGCTGGTGCAGGGGAATCTCAGTTATGGGTCAGGAATCCCTGTCATTGAGCTAAGTATGCAAACAACAACAACAGGATCCAGTCTGGTAGTGTCCTGTGCTAATCCTTCCATACCCCTTCCAACCCCTCTGCCACTGTCTAGGAATATTTTTAAAGTTAAAACCACAAGCTAACCCTACCCCAAAAAGGGAGATGTGCCAGATGGTAGAGTCTTGAATGTCACTATTGACTTTCACCTGAAAGGCACTGACATACTGGAACGGAGTGCAGTGGTGTAAAACCCCTCCATAGTTTACCAAGAGAATTCAGTTCTCTCTCATACAAGCAGTGTGTTTAACTGCTTTAGCATTAAAACAAGTAAAGAAATCATTGCTTAGCCTCTTGGCTTCTTGATGTCTCATTCACCTTTTGGAAAATATGCAGAAAGAGGAGTACAGAAAGCCACTTCAAGTTTATGTAAGTTGAAAATCTTTTCCACACAGTGATATTAAGTTGCAGTTAGAAAGTGTATTTTGATGCAATTTAGTGATGAACTAGATAGATAGTGCCAAGTTGTAATGTTATGTTTAGTATTCTTATACATCCATAGGTAGAAGTGGTGCAGTAAATTGCAGTGTCATGGCACTTCTGCTGGGCACACTAGTAATGTACTGAGCTATTTGTGCAAGATATTGTGTGTTAAAGGTAATCAATGTGTGGTTTGAGCCAGGGGAAGGGTGGCATGCCCGAGAACATTGCTTTGGTGGACTTAATGAAAACTTAGAGCACAAGACTTTCCCTATGCCAAATAAATGCTTTTTGAAGGATATATTATATGACTTAAATATCTTACAGTCTGAACAGATAAGCACATTAATGACAGTGCAAAATAGCTCTGAGGTGAGCAGAGGAGAGCTTGCAGTCATCCTGTCAGTGCACAGTTATATTTCTTGGGGAAAGGAGAGTAATAGTTTCTCTTTTTCCCCAAAATACCTTTCTTAAAGGCCACAATGAGTTATCAGTGGAAAGTGAAACAGTTGTGTAGCTGAAAAATGTCTTTTTTCTTTTCTTTATTTTATACACTGCTTATAGTGCTGCTACATGTCAGTTGAGTTGCAAATATGATTTTCATATTTCCAAAAAGGGAAATCATGGAAAAGCACTTTTGCCCTCAGAATGTTTGATTACCTTCTTTACCTTCGTTTATCTAGTTCCAGGTGTAGTGGAATCCTAGTTATGCTGTTGTAGCTGTTCATCCTCTCTTTGGTAAAACAGCACTAAATATTGAAGACCAATGGTTCCTTGGCAAGCATGGAAGCAATTGATAGCTAGTATAGTGTCTCACCACCCCAAAACCTCAATTCCAGATTTCAGAGGTTCTCAGTTTCTTCTCCCTAATGTGTTACTGTTATGTGTGATGTAAAAAAAGGCTCTCTTGACAAAGAGTAAGTATTGCCAACAAGTAATGCAATTGCATTTTCAGCGTAGATAAACCAGGTCAGAGTCTGTGTCAAAAGAGATAGGACTCCATTTTAGTAAGTAAAATATCCACTGAACATGTTTCTTTAGCCTGAAAGCTGTAAACATTACTTCATCATCTGCTTAAAGACCAGAGTGTTATTTATGGCTTAACCTATGATTTCAATGCTATTGCAAATTAACTCTGTTGCTCTTTGTTAGTCAATGCTTCCTTAGAGTAAAGTTAGTGGATTCCTTAGAGTAAAGTCTCCACTGGATTGCAGTTGTAAGAAGCCAGTAAGGAGAATGGCATGACTGAGGGGAGTTGCTACATGTATTTGTAAGACTATTAGATCATCCTTGCTGGCACCTCCAGAACTCAAAGTTGGGAATTTCATCTGGTGCTGCTTCACTGGACTTGTAACTTGTCCTCAGCCAAAGCATATCAACACAGCAAGATCTCTGCATGCGGCTTTGAGATACCTGTTCAAATTAAGTCTAGGCTAGTTGAAATCAGAAGCTGCTACATGAGGGTGGCTGGTTAGTAATACAGGATGGGAGGTGGTGAAGTGTCTCGTAAGGCAAGTTATATACAAAAATGCTTACCTGCCTTCTACTCTCAGAGTCCTGTGTGTTAAACTGGCATTCACACCACCCTAATCCCCTTTGGGTTCAACACTTCCTCTGGCTTTCATGGTATCGCTATTTTGCCTGCCAAGCTCTTTGGAGATACTACCTTGCGTGGATCTTGTTTCTGCCCATGGCAGGGGGGTTGGAACTGGATGAGCTTTAAGGTCCTAGTCAAAACCATCCTGTGATTCTGTGATCCGAAAGCTGAGCGCAGACAACAGGAGAAATAAATCTCAGTGTGAAAGACCAACAGTTTGGGCTTAGCTGGGCACTCAGTTTCTTGGAGAGGTCTCCACCAGCCTCTGCCTAGGCGGAGCAGAAAGACCTGCTCAGGTTCTTCCTGCTCTTTAGGCTGTTCAGAAATGGAAAAGGCCAGCTTCACGGCTGTGTTTAAAACCATGGTGTGAGAACCGTGTAACACATTATTTTCTCTTGCACTGGGTTTTGAAGCAAGAGAAAAAATCACAAAGCAGGAAACCCTTCTTATGAATTCACTGTAGCAGTAATCTTGTATATTATTGAGTAATAGCAGTCCTTTTGCAGCTTGCAAATGAATTTCTTGGTTGCCTTCTGTTTCTGTATTCAAAAACACACAACAGTGCCTCTTTGGGCCTGATGCATAGCTTGGGTATAGTGTGACATTTTTCACAAAAACATTGATGTTGAAGCAAAGTGAAAGGAGAAATGCAGAGCGGAGGAGCGAGAGTCTCTTGTGTATTAGCACCCTGTAACAAATATAGAGGGAGATGTTCTTTTACTGAGTTCTTATGAAATTGGTTGTAGATGGAGTCACATTTTGAAATCTCATCAGAAAAACGTCTTCCTAGTCACCTATTCCCAAGAGCAGCGTAACTTCATAGAATTTTAATGAGACTTGTACATAGAGATTGCTTTTGTGTAAGAGAGCTCAAACCTATTTGTTCCTAGAATTTGAGCTTTTAATTTTTTAAATAAAATCACCAAGGTTACAAATGCTTTTGCTGTCAAAGCATTCTTGTGAACATCATCTTAAGACAGCACCTGCAAATGGCTCGTGCCTTTTCAAGGATAAGAAAAGAGAGATTCCATCTCTTTTTTAGTGTATAGGACAAGCTTAAAATGTAACTCCATCACCCTGCTGTGGCCTGTCTGTGTTAAAAACAGAGTTTTCCATCCCAGGGAGGAGGTAAGGGTCACCATCAGAGGAGTAGGAAAAAGAGCTTTTTTATTGTGAACTGTGAGTATCTCACAAACCTGAGGAGGCTCACAGGAAGGCTGACTGCATGTCCTCTGCAGGGGCAGACACAGAGCTTTCAATTTCTACAATGTGCTGAAGGCATTGAGCCAGAATCAGCACTGGTGGTACAGAGCAATGCAACCGCCTGATTTTCAGTGGCACTGCATTCATTTACACCAGTAATTTCACATGTCCTGCTTCCTGTTGAGTGTTTTTCCCCAAGCAGTTGTGACGAATAGCTATCTACCTGAGATCCTGTTAATCTTAAATCATAGGGATGAGGAAAAAGGGAATTTCCAAATGCTGGCACACCTTCTGCTGGTGGTTTGATTTAGTTACAGCTATTGCTGAAAGCTTTACCACTGAGTGCTTGTCTCCGTTACTACTTAAGGGTTGTCACACCATGCCCTGCTTTTGTCAAAAGAGCTGTCTTGTTGGCACAGATGTAAAGGCAATGCAGGCATGGGATAGTTCTTCACAGGCTTTCTTTTGTTGATTCTTTTGTTGTTTCTTGGTGAAAAGCCTGAAAAAGTCAGCATAAGCCTTGGCTGTCCAAGTGCCCATGAGAAAGAAGTGCTTCTGCTGCATCTGAAAGAGGAGGCAAAGATGAAGAAATTCTTCATCTTCCCTGCCTTTTGTTCTGAAGGCAACTGTCCACTGCTGAAATAGAGTGCTGCAAGTGCTGTGTGCTGTATGCCATGCTGGGGTACCTTTCCTGGAGAGACACCTATAATCACAGAATCATAGAACACTTTGTGTTGGAAGGGACCTTCAAGCTCATCCAGTTCCCACCCCCCCAGTCACAGGCAGGGACACCTTCCACCAGACCAGGTTGCTCCAAGCCCCATCCAACCTGGCCTTGAGCACTGCCAGCGATGGGGCAGGCACAGCTTCTCTGGGCACCCTGTGCCAGCGCCTCAGCACCCTCACAGGGAAGAACTTCTTCCTTATATCTCACCTCAGTCTCCCTTCTGTCAGTTCAAATCCATTCCCCTTTGTCTTGTCCCTACAGGCCCTTGTCAAAAGCCCCTCTCCAGATTTCTTGTCAGCCCCTTTAGGCACTGGAAGCTGCTCTGAGGTCTCTCCAGACCCTTCTCTTCTCCAGGCTGAGCAAGCCCATCTCTCTCAGCCTGTTTCCATAGCAGAGCTGCTCCAGCCCTTGGACCCTCTTCATGCATTAAAGCAGGTTATCAGTAACAGAGTTCAAGGTTTTTGGGGTGTGAAGCTGAGATTGTGCCAGCTATGCCATTTGCAGGGGAGGCTTTGGATACTGTCCCAGGGAATGTTTCATGTTTTACTACTCTGTACCTGCATGCTTGTACACGCTTCTCACATTTTTTTTGCACTTTGGTGAGCTTGATAGTAACCAGTGCTTTGCCTTGGGTGAGGTGACTTTGCTCTTTGCTAGCTGATTTGATGCAACACTGGAAATGAAACTTCTGTGCTTTATGTATCTAACCCTGACTTTAGATGAACAAATTAAGAATAGAGATTTGGATTCAGTTACAGGCATTTGTTCCAATCCTTAACCTTTCTGAGATCGTGTAAAATTTTCCTGGGGAAAGGTTGGAAGCCTCTCTTTGCAGATATCTGAAAATTAGATTGGATAAGGTAGTAGCAAGTATCCTATAGGGAATACTTCTGCACTGAAAGTGGTGTAGAGGACTCAGATTCAGAGACGAAAAAAGATCCTTTACAGTACAGAGCAACAATAATTTTGCAGCTGAGGTGCTAAAAATCACGTGCACTTTTATTTCTCTTGAGCCTTTGAAGCAACAGCCTGTCAGTGCTTGAGCTCCCCTTAAATTTATGTGATGCACCCATTTCCTTATTACTTTCATAGGCAAGGCATCCAGCAACACATTCATTCTGAAATGTCCTGCTATTATGAATGCAGTTGCTGTTCATTGTAAGAGCACCAATCACGATGAATTAATTTTGCATTCATGTAGATGTTATGAGCATTTTGGATATATTTTTTTTCTAATTTAAATCAGTAAATGGACACTTAAAAGCATTATGTGTATGCCCATTGCTCTGCCAAGGGAGCAAGGGAAAATCGTGCCTGTAGATTCAGCCTTGCATAATTCCCAGTTTAGTGGGGAATTTCCTCCTGGCTAGAAATTAGCATCCAGCCCTTCAGGATTGATTGACTGTTTCTTGTGACAGCATGGACCTTAATCAATGTGTTGCATACACAACAGGCCCATCTGTTCATGCTGTAGGCGTTCCGCTGTCATTTAGCGGCTGGCTCAATTTAATGGACCACTTACTTTATCAGATATCTGCTTTGAGGCTGGGGGGATTTTTTTGATCTGGAAGGGAAGGAGCTCTCAGTATTTATCAGAGGAACCATCCCTTTTCTTTTTTTTTGCAGAGAGCTTTGGGTACTTCCCCTCACATAAGCGCAATTTAGCTGCAAAAGGTAGGCCTTGCCATGATAAGCCTGTTTTCAGGGGATAAACTCTGTAGTTCAGTGATGCAGAATTTGCTCAGTGAACTGGGAGCGAGAAATAATTTGGTGGCAGAGGCTTAGAGTTCAAACAGGACAGAACTTCCATGTGCTGATGTGAATAGTGAAGTGTGTGAGGTAAAGGTACAGAAGGGGAGAAGTGCAGGGGCACCAGAGGACTTGTGCAGATCCAGGTACAGAGTGAAGAGTGCTGAGGGAAGGCATTTAGATCATAGCATCATAGAATGGTTTGGGTTAGAAGGGACCTTAAAGTTCATCTAGTCCAACCCGCTGCTATGGGCAGGGACACCTTCCACGAGACCAGGTTGCTCCAAGCCCCATCCAACCTGGCCTTGAGCACTGCCAGGGATGGGGCAGCCACAGCTTCTCTGGGCAACCTGTGCCAGTGCCTCAGAACCGTTACTGGGAAGAACTTCTTCCTAATGTCTCATCTCAATCTCCCCTCTGTCAGTTTAAAGCCATTCCCCCTTGTCCTGTCACTACAGGCCCTTGTCAAAAGTCCCTCTCCATATTTCTTGTAGATTTCTCTGCAGCTCTCCAATTTGACCCAAGCTCCACTGGGTCTGCCACACCACCAAACCAAAACATGCAAGTTTTTATAGACCATGCATTCACAGTGTTTCTTTATGCTTTCCTAGTCTTTTGAAGACCTGAGTGCTCCTGATGATTCTGGAAACCCACCAGAGCTATTTTGTGTATCACTGGTAGGGTGCTCACATCTAACACTCTTGTGAGTCAGCGGAGAAAACAGTGGCACTGAAGAACTATGTGATCAGCTGAGGATCACTGATGAGGTAAGCCACAGGAAGAACTGGAATGTGGAAGTCCCAGTTCCCAGATTTCTAAGCACTTTTCAGTCTCCTCTGCTCTTTGCCAATGTCTCCATAGGCAAGTCTGAAAGCAGGAGTCGTTGGTGTGATTTTACTGTAGCAGATCCAGCTGGCCCCAAAATACCTGTGACTTCACACCATAAGTATAAAGTTCACGTCTATGTCATGAGCACTGAGTCACTAAATCAAGCATTCAGGTCTCACACTAGTGGACTTCATTTTCAAAGGCTGGAAGAGGGAAAGGCTGGAAAACCAAAGAAGTTAGGGAGTGCTAAGTTGAGACCCATAGGCTTTTTGACGATACAGTCATGATTTCATAATGAACAAAACAATGTGTTTCATTTGACCACTCTGTTTAATAAGGATTCACTTCCACTGGATTCTATCATTTTCGAAGTAATGAAATCCCTGCATCACCTTGAAAGAGATAATTTGACCCCTGTGTTTATATGCATGTACATGACAGCAATTTCTAGGGGGCACCCAGTAGGTACATTGATGCTTACGTTTTTGATGCAGGAGAAAGGTTTCTCCTCAGGTTTATTGGTTCAGACAGCTAGCTGAGAATCATGGTTTTGAAACAGCTATTCTGCCCCTGCCGTGTTCAACTCTCTTATTCCACACTGGGAAGGCTGTCGTGTGGTTTAGGCATAATCAATTCAGATGCTAACCTGCAAAGAGGAATCCTTAATGCGAAAGGGGAGTGTGCAGATAGAGAGTGAAAGCAAAATAGTGGTTGAGCCTCAGGTACAGAGTTAGTTTATTTTTAAATAGTTTTGAAATACTCCCTCATGGGTAAGGTCTTAGGGGTACTGCTACCCTTTATTGCTTTTTTTACGTGGAAACTGATGATGGCTAATATCTGCTGCTTCGTGTCTGTGTTGGAAGAGGCTGGGGGGGCAGCTGCCATAGCCACTTGTTTATGTGGTCTTAACATATTCAGCCAAATCAATTCCTTGTGCAAAGACTTCCATGCACCTTAATTCATAGCTGAATCTGAGACTTGTGATTTTGGGTGACTTTTCTCTTTGGTTTAGTAGAAGTGATGAGAACAGATTTAGTCCTGTCCTCTCAGAAAGAACTGCCCCCCATGCCTTCTCCCTTATATTAGTGTTGTGTAAAATGTTAGAGCTGTGGAGCTTGATCATACAAGCTGCTGTAGCTTTCAGCCCTGGCTCATTTTTGAGCCATTCCTGAAAAATGTTAAATACTTCCCACACTGGAAGTCTAGTGTCATTCTCATCCTGTATTTCAGATAATCACTTCAGATGAAGCTCAGGTAAATTGTACCTTCAGACTAAGGTCATATAAACCTTGGTGATTCTTCTCATGAATAGCTTTTTATTTAATTTTTTTTAGATGTCCAAGAATTGTCTCCAAATTAGATTTAGGAACAGAAGAAAGCGGCACAGTTGTATATATATATGAAGTTAGAATGGAAAGCAGTTTGTTGTGGAAAGATACTTCTGAATTTTCCACCTTCCAGAAAGTCACATAGCAGCCATGCACACTGAGCTTTCTGTGAAGAAGGGTGCTATGGAGGTGCTCTTTGGTGATGATTTACTTGTGTGCCTGAACTCGTTTTGTTTGCAGTGCTACTCTGCAATGAAAACAAAAAAGAAAACAATATACAAGCCAGTGTTTACCCCTTTGCCTCTTAGTTTGTTCTTTGGTGTCAGCAGTTACAGACATGGCATTCAAGTGCCACTGGGAAACTCTTCTGGAGATTAAAGATAGGAAATTACGTTCTCTCTTAAGACAAGACCAGTGCTATGTGGATGAAGGGCAATTTCTTCAGCACAGTGACAACAGTGTGAGCATCAGTGCTGCTTCTGCCAGGAACGCTGTGTTGCCTTACAGTCAAAACTGTTAACAGTGTTCAAGCCTTTAAACTTCCTCTGTGACCTGGTGTACCAGGCTGTGAGGTCTGTTTAGAAGAATGCTGGTGGTAGTTCATTCACTCTGTCCCCAGGCCACCAAGGTGGTGGGTTGTAGCATGTTTGTCCAGTTGCAATCAGAATTGAACTGTACATGGAATGAAAAGCAAGAACTGAGATTTGGTGTTGGATCATAAGCCTTCTGTAGTCACTTTACATGTCTCTTGTTTTAATTCTCACTCTGGCTGTGTTTAGATGAGCCAAACCAGAGTAAGAAGACTGCACTGTAAGAGACCTGGGGACTTGACACTTGGGATGGTCTGATTGAAAGTCCCAAAAGAGGAGCAGCAGCATGAGAATTCTGAGCTGTCGACCTCTATCTCTTCCAATGTGTATGTAGTAGTAAAAAACATTCATGGGCCTTGCCATCTTCTGTTATTGTTTTTCATTATGTGTGATCCTTGTGTGGCATCCCTATTTGAATGTGAGCCAATGTAATTCTTAGATAATCACAGAGCTCATCCTCGGCCACTGAGAGAGAGTTGAAGAGCTAATTATGGAGACAATCCACTGTTCAGTGTCAGAAAGTAAACATAATGAGGAGTGCAGCAACATGTTTGGGTTTTTTTTTTCTGGGACTTTTGCCTGTTCTTTTCAATTTTTGTGGCAATTAAGTTGGAAAAGTCTTAACTAAGGAGAGATACTTAAACTGCGGTGAACATGACTGTTGGAGAATCTCAGCCTTAACATTTCTCTTAGCCCAGAGGGTGATTCCCACTTTTGACATTAAAACATTCTAAAAAGCAGAAATAGAATTTTTAAGCCCCAGGTCTAAATTAGTGGAGTAGCTTAAGTAAGCACGAAAGTTTACAACCAAGAGGGAAATATCACATGGCTCCCTAGAGAGAAAGTAAAAACTATCAAAAACCAGCCTGAGCTAGACTCAAAGCAAAAGGAAGCAAGGCAAATAGAAAAGAGATCTTGCAATCAAATAATGACAAAGTAAGGAAACAGTGAATGGGTGTGTGGAGATGTTCTATACAAAAAGGACAGGTTACAACTAAATGCAATGTAGGTGAAGCTCCAGAACTAAGAAAATGCTTTGCCTTTCTATTCAGGAAAGATGATTCAGTTGGACCTGATCAAGCTGATACCTTCCCAGCCTTGTTCAGTACCTGGGGTGAACAAAGGGAAAGTGACTAGTGGCTCTGAGGTAGGAAGGAGATGCAAACAGTACTCAAGGTGAATGCAAAACTGAGAGTTTAGTGGACATGCCTGAGGGGCTGGTTATATCTTTCACAGAATTCTACTACAATTTGTACTTTAAGTGCTAGTGTGGAAATAAGAAACTTTTTTATTTTTATTTATTTATTTAAAATTAATCCGTGAAGTCTGAATTCGCACCACTTGACTAAAGAAGAGGAAATCTCAGGGACAGGCATACGTGCTAATCTAATCTCAGTAATTATGCAGGACTATGGACCAATTTGGGAAGCAGAGAATGAGGATGAATAAATGCAAAGTAGGAAAAAGATGAACATGGGGTTTTCAGAGATTGTGCCAAATGTATACAATACCTTTAAGTAATGAAATAATTGATCTCTTTGGCAAAGAAATGCAAGAAACAAATTTTTGATGCCATGATTCACAGGGAGTTAGATAAACTGGAGAGGGATTAGAAAGAATTTGGATAACAGGGAGATGGCAGGATGTGATAGTGGAAAGGGAGAAAAGGTTGGAGGGAGGTTACTGAGACTTTATCAAGAGCAGTCTTGCGAGCAATCTTGCTTAATATATTTATTAGTGACTGGCCCAGAAAGTGGAGAGAGTTAATGAAATACCTTTCTGCTACTGACACAAAGTTGTGAGACACATCAATAGGAGGAAGATCAGATACTGTGCAAGAAGAATTGGATGACTTTGAAGATTAAGCAGTAAAAATGTTATAAAATGGAATGGTACCAAGTACAAGGTTATTCACCTAAGGATCAAATGTAATCCACTTTGCTGAACTCAGCTCATAACTTAAAGGAGCGAGGCAGAGAGAGATGCTAGTGGCTTGGTCCAGATAAGACTTGCTGCATTTGCTTTGTCTACAAATTCAGTTATTTTATTGAAATGAAGGATTGGGCTAACCTTGTGAAATAGCTTTTTGAAACCATGCAGCATAAGATGCCAATGTGATGCAGCTGGGGAAAAGGCAAATGCAATCCCATCTGTACAGTCAATAATAGAGAGGGGCATCAAAACTGGTGTGTATTTGTAATCAAGAATGCAGTTCTGGCCAGTCATGTTCAAGAAAGATTAACTTAGAAATATGTTCAGCAATGGTTTGCTTTAAAGAAAAGTTCATACAAAGGAAGGAGGAGATTTGTGTTGCATAGTAAAGCGATGGCAAAGAGGCAGTATGACTGCAGTCTGTAAAACCAACAGGGGTTTGCCCTTTGTGTTGGAAAGAATAATTTAAGCTAACAGACAGTCTCAGAGCAAGAACAGTAGGGCATAGACTGGTGATGAATACAGTTAAGCTAGAAATTAGAGGAAACATTTTAACAGTGGAAAAAGGCAGGCTCTGAAGCAGACTTGCACTTACAGAACTTGGAACATTGCAACTTTGTTCCTGACAAAAACCAAAGGCAAAAATGTGACTAGCTCAAGATGGAGGCTAGTCTGGACAGAATGTATAATAAGAAAAGAGTGATTGTGGAATTCAGGGGGAGAGTTTGCATCTTGGGTTCTGTATTTTATCCCAGGATGAGTGGAGAGTGAGTGAACTTCCCCTGTGCCCCTGAAGATCTCAGTTTTCCACTTATAAAGGAGGAATAACTCCACATTTCTGCTAAAGAGAGTAATTTGGCTGAGAGAGCTGGGCTTGTTCAGCCTGGAGAAGAGAAGGCTCCAGGGAGACCTTAGAGCAGCTTCCAATGCCTAAAGGGGCCAACAAGAAATCTGGAGAAGGGCTTTTGACAAGGGCCTGTAGTGACAGGACAAGGGGGAATGGCTTTAACCTGACAGAGGGGAGATTGAGATGAGATCTGAGGAAGAAATTCTTCCCTGTGAGGGTGGTGAGGCCCTGGCACAGGTTGCCCAGAGAAGCTGTGGTTGCCCCATCCCTGGCAGTGTTTAAGGCCAGATTGGACGGGGCTTGGAGCAACCTGGTCTGGTGGAAGGTGTCCCTGCCTGTGACAGGGCTTTGGAACTGAATGAGCTTTAAGATCCCTTCCAACTGAAACTGTTCTGTGGTTCCATGATTTGACCATACTTGGTGTTACACCCTGAGAGCTTGTGGGGAGAGGAAACCATTTGGCTGGGGAGATACTGGGTGAAGAAGACAGGTATCTACCTGGCAGCAATGAAACAACTGGATTTCCAGCAGTCTAATGAGAGAGAGACTTTGCAGAAGCATATAAATGGATGATAAATCACAACTTGGTTCTCTCTAGCAGTTCGTGGTGTGTTGCTGGAGAGGGATGGCCAAGGGTGCTTGACACCTCACTGTCCTAATTGCATGGAATTTTTTATCTTCCTTGTCCCTCCTACTGTAGTTTTCCATCTGTCTAGTTTTCAGATCATATCATATCGTGGATCTTCACAGCTCCCCTTTTGCTAATGGGTATATTTATAATTTCTATAATACAATTTATGGATGTTCAGTTTTATAAAAGGAGGCACCTGAGCATGAGCCAAGGGCAGCCTAAGTACTTTTTTAATCTGAGGAAGTCAGGTGGTAGTTCCTGGGACGATGACCAAATATTTGTGATTTAGCAAACAATTTATTTTCCAGGAAATGCACTTAAAAAAAAAAAATCACATCTATTCCTGAACAATTTTGAGATAAAAATGAGCAACCTATAAAAATAACGATCATAAGTCGTGGTTCTGTTGCTGGTTTGAGCAAGATGTTGCTGCACTGTGGCGTGGTCTACCATAAAGTGACTTCTAACTCACTGCAGGCATAGCATTCTCTCATACACTGTCACTTCCCCCATTTTGAGGAATCAAGTGGGCTGACATTTGATTCAGAAGCACAGTTTGGTCATGTCTATGTACTGGAAATCTGTCCTGAATATTGCAGAAACAACAGGATCAGTCAGTCAGTTGGTTGAGTGCCAGTATCTTTCCCTCAAACTGCAGAAGTGGACAAAGACACTGTCTTTGTGTTAATAATTCATTTTTCTGCCAGCTCTGGCACCCTTGATCAGAGGCATTATTCCAAGACGCTGAGTGCAACATTTGGAACAGCACATTCTTGTTCTTGCAAAATATCAAGCTTGAATGCCACAGAATACGGTCTTCTTCATGAAGCAAAGAAATGACTGCTTGTCAGCCTCTTCTTGCAGGTCATTTCTGTCAGGCAGCAAGAATTAATTCAAACTTCTCCTTAATATGCCTCTAGTGCAAATGGTTGTGACTGTTCCACTCTCTCCTCTGCTTCTGGAGTTTTGTGTGCATCTCTGAAATAGACTAAAGGCTT